AGGTTGGCTGAAATGCTAATTTTCCTTATAAAGGGTCTGGCCCACCAAGTGAAGCAAGTTTCTTTTACCTTTGTCATAATTCCATATGTAGTGATGTGTTTATTCTACACATAATTATATATTTACATATGCATGTATTTCTAGATATATGATATATATAGATATCATAGATATATGAAATATATTACTCAGTTTGCTAACTAGTTCACTGTGTCTGCCTTTAGAATTAAATGCCATGGGGCAATGCCATGTTTGTTTTCCATGAGTGTATATACCCATTGTGCACGAAACTCAATGAGATCAATAAATCATTGAAAGAATTGACATTTCTTCTTCTCAAAAAGCAATCATTTAGGCTTTATTAAGGAAATAGGTGAACTCTGGCATTCAGTTGGTTTGTGTAGCGACAGAGCCTGCATCTGTATCCTCTAATGGATCCCTTGAGGTAATGTTGTGGCTTGATATATACATTATTGCTGAGAATTAATTCTAGTCATGTCTATGCACCATGATTTTCCTACCAGCAGAGCTGTGTCTCCAGAGACCCTTTAATCACCTACTTACTATTTGTGTGAGAAAGAGTTCCTGTAACCATCATGGGGGATTAGTCTCTGGAGAGGTCCATAACGGAATCACTACTTCCCTGCTTCCAGTATTTAACTTGTCTACTCCCCTATTGGCCCCATAGAAAACTCCCCGAAACCAGAACCCATTTTATCATTAATTTATCTATCTGATTGCTGCTAGCTGTTAATTTCTAACAGTGACTCCCCTTCAAACGGAGCAAGCACTAAGAATCTGGAAAAGTAAGTAAAGAAACATAAATGATAATGGTTTTGATTATGAGTAAGATCATTACTTCTTATTTTCACACCAACTAGCAGTCCTGTGGACCTAACTTTGTTGGGGTCAGCTTTGTATTAAATACATAGTGTCGATTATGATGTCAAGGTTCGAAGAGGTTGAGTGAGAGGCGAAAACAACAGATCAAGGACAAAAACTCATGCAAGCCAATTTCAAGGTTAGTAGGACTTTTTTCCCTAAAGTGTGCCCTTGGAGAATATTCAACCTTTTTGAAAAGCACTAAAGGAGAATCTCCAAGTAGGGTACTTTTTTTCCCCCTTGGAATGAATTTCTGATTTGAGAATCACTGGAGAGGGTAGTTTTACTCAGGGAACAAGGTGTGTTAGTCTAGGTACTTTAGAGAAACAAATCCACAGCAACTCATGTATAAGAGAGAGTTTTATATAAACGTTAAGTGCACATCAAGAAAACATCCCAACCCAGTGCTGCCCAAGCCCACAAGTCCAACATTAACTCATTAACCCATATGTCCAACACCAATCCACAAAGTCCTCTATCTCACAAAACAGAGGCAATGATGCCGACTGTAGGAGGAAAGCCGAGTCAGTGAATGTGTAAGCATCTCCGCACTGGCAGGGGTCTCCAAACAGGTGCTCCAGCACCCAGGGCTGCATCAGGGTAGATCCATGTGGCTTTTCCTCAGGGTTGTCTTACAGGAAGTGAGCCTTGACAGCTAAAGCAGGGAACTGGCTAAGGCAGCTGCACCCTGGTCTGACCATGAGAAAGCAAGAGACCCGAGAACTAGAAAGGCAAAGCTCACTGAGCCATTTATCCCTTTGCCCTTCAATTAACTGTACATGTGTTTATTGGCCAATAAACTATATCACAGGTATTGCTTTAGATCAAATCCCCAGTAAGTGAAAATTTGGAAAGACAGAGCTGACCAGCAACATTTATCAAAGCAGTTATCTGTCCCTTGGCTAATTTAGAGTTGAGACTTAAGTGTTTAGAAGATTTTTCATGTACTGCATGATGCAATCAAAGGTTCCATATCAGAAACATGATGGAGATCCTGCCAGAACATGTGCATTTATTGCATAGGATAGTGGTAAGTCAGAGGGCATTGTATCATTCCATTGACAGATAAGAGACTATATGACATTAAAAACATTATTCTTGTTATTACAATCTGAAAGATTTTTCCTTAAAAATTGTAATAATATTTCTTACCTCGATAAGTTCTGTTTTTAATAAAAATCAAGTAATCCATCACTATGAAAACATTTCAATATGACTACCACATTATATTTAGAATTGTAATGAAACCAAAGAGTTGGGAATATTAGACATCAAGGAAGAAATACCCTAGACTAAGTAGAGACAGGGGAAAATAATCACAGAGTACATGAGGAGAGAAGGATGAGAAGATGTGAACTGCAGATAGGACTCTACCACGAGTGACTTACTTGGTCTTGGACACCTATTTTGTAAATTATTAGATGGGCTGGTCATCTAGTATAATGCAAATGTAAATGGGATATAGATATGGTATATAGATATAACTATGCACATACATATTAATATATCTATATGCATACACCATGGAGAGTGATCTACATATATTTATTAACTATACAAATTAGGTATGTTACTTATATATGTAATATATAAATTATAAAATATATAGATTATGCATATATACATTAATCTCTGGGATGTCTAAAAGTTTAATGGGTTCCAAGGAGAACCAAAAGTTGATGGCTTGATTCCACCAAGAGGTACATTGGAAGAAGGCTTAGTTATTTATGCCTCAAAAATAAGTTGTTAAACTTCTACAAAGCATCCTTATATTCTGACACAATTGAATTTACAATGAGTTGAAATCAACTCAACAACAAATTATTGGTTGCATTTTTTCTATTATAACTTAAGTCCTTATCTAAATATTGACCTGCACATTGACACTGTGGATAATTTATGTGGGGAGAGAAAAAAACTAACATAAATCCCACTTTTATAGTAACAACTTGATAAATGTTGTTCTACTGATTATAATGGCAAAGCCTTGTCTACAGAAGAAGAAATTGTGGATGAATTCTAGGAAGCACTCTTTTGGTCATTGCAGCCACTTAGTAAAAGTTATTGATGAAGATAGGTGAAGATATTCATGTCTCAGTATTCTAAACAAATTGTGCAGTTGAAATTAATCTCTGAAAACCCTCTAATCTATATGTGGTATACCTAAGATTTTAGAATGTAAAGTAAAACAAGTTTCATTTAGGAAAGTTCTAGCCTTTCAAAATATACATGGGAATTTCATAATATGCTTTATGCAGACTTAAATAAATAACCCAAATAAGTTAGCATCACAGTTAATATATAAATATTTTAGGGTCTTTTTTTTTGGGTCTATAATAGCCGAATCTAAGGTAATTGACACTAAGAGAAGAAAGGATATTAGGGGAAAATATTACATGTGTCTTATCACACCACCCCCTATGTTATTATCACAAGGAAGCCCTCCTTGACTTCACCGATGCAATGAGTGCTCATGGATTATATGCATTTACTGACATGAAGTCTAGAATGTGTGCAGGCCTATTTTTACCACCCTACAGATGAGTCAAGGGAGGCCAGTATAAGTTAGGGAATACCTAAGGTCAGTAAGGACATCACTGCCACTGTTGATGAAACTGAACTAGGTATTCATATATGTACAGAGAAATACAACTGGAATTTTAAAAATCATTTTACTAGGAGCTCATACAACTCTTAACACAATCCACACATACATCAATTGTGTAAAGCACATTTCTACATTCATTGTCCTCATCATTCTCAAAACATTTGCTTTCCACTTAAGCCCCTGGCATCAGGTCCTCATTTTTCCCCTCCCTCCTCGCTCTCCCCTCCCTCATGAACCCTTGATAATTTATAAATTATTATTTTGTCATATCTTGCCCCATCCGATGTCTCCCTTCACCCACTTTTCTGTTGTCAGTCCCCCAGAGAAGAGGTCACATGTAGATGTTTATAATCCGTTCTCCCTTTCCAACCCACCCTCCCTGAACCTCCAAGTATTGCCACTCGCATCACTGGTCCTGTAGGGATCATCCACCCTGGATTCCCTGTGTTTCCGGTTTCTATCTGTATCAGTGTACATCCTCTGGCCTAGCCAGACTTGCAAGGTAGAATTGGGATCGTGATAGTGAGTGGGGGGAAGGAAGCATTTAGGAACTAGAGGAAAGTTGCATGTATCTTCGTTACTACATCACACCCTGACTGGCTCCTCTCCTCCCTGAGACCCTACTGTAAGGGGATGTCCACATTGGAAATTTTAAGGGATGTGTAGAAAGTATAGAAGGGTGAAGAAATCTTATAGGAAAGCAAATGTAATGAAATACATTATAGAACATTTGTTTACATAGTTATCTGGAAGTCCTATGTTATATCCTTCATCACTACAGTCCCCTGACTAAATTAATCTCTGTCTCCAAATCATATAAAAGTTTACACAATTGTTTTTGTCATCAATTTAATTAAATAACAGATTGGAAAACAATGGCCTGTGTTATTTTAATCACAAATCAATATTATTCGTTCTGTAGTCCAGAATGTGTATATAAAAGTCCCTGATCAAAGCTCTGTTTAAAATAATATTTTTTTGGAGTTTTCTTTCTTTTTTTCATGACTTTATAATATTTGAAATTATGTGTTAAATATAATATTCTCTATATCTATGATATATAGTGAAACCATTTTGGTTAGGAATATGTTTTATATAACAGTCTCTCACTATCCTAGAATGCTGTTCTTGAAAAAATTGAAATTAAAAAAACCTTCCAGTTGAAATATTAGTTTGGTTTGAAATTCCTTTAATCGGGAGTTTGATGCACTTTTATCACTAACTAATCTCATTATTTTGCATTAATCATTTTCCACTGCTTATCTGTAATCTATAACATTTAGCAGTTTGATTAGAATACCTTGGAACTTCTTTTCACTGTAAATCCTATTATGGCATCAATCAATAAAAATCAAATCTGATTTTCACAACCATGCTTTAATTCCTGAAAACAATCATTGCAGGCTTGAAATAAGACATATATTAAACATTCTCAGAGACCTCAATATGGTCTTTCATTACAGTTGTGATTCTGGTTTCCCATGGTTACAGAACAACCACAAAATCTTCCATGACCCCAACTGAGAACCATACAGAGGTGACGGAGTTCATTCTTGTGGGGTTCACCAATGATCCAGAAACGCAGATCCTGCTCTTCATAACTTTTTTCCTCATCTACCTCATCAGTCTGGTTGGGAACCTGGGGATGATCCTGCTGATCATGTTGGACTCTCGTCTCCACACTCCCATGTACTTTTTCCTCAGCAACCTCTCTCTGGCTGACTTTGGTTACTCCTCAGCTGTCACGCCCAAGGTCATGGCAGGGCTTCTCACAGGAGACAACGTCATCTCCTATAATCATTGTGCCGCTCAATTCTTCTTTTTCGTAGCTTTTGCTGTTACTGAAAGCAACCTTTTGGCTGTCATGGCTTATGATCGGTATGCAGCAGTGTGCAAACCCCTTCATTACACCACCACTGTGACAACTGTGTGTGCATGTCTGGGCATAGGCTCCTATGTTTTGGGTTTCCTGGATGCTTCCATCCACACTGGGAACATTTTCAGGCTCTCCTTCTGTCGGTCCAATGTGATTGATCACTTTTTCTGCGATGCTCCTCCCCTTCTGGCTATCTCATGTTCTGACAGATACATCACTGAACTAGTTATTTTTTTAGTGGTAGCTTTCAATTCCTTCTTCTCTGTCATGGTAATATTGACTTCATATTTATTTATATTTACTACCATCCTGAGGATCCACTCCTCTGAAGGACGCCAGAAGGCTTTCTCCACCTGTTCGTCCCACCTCACTGCAGTCTCTCTTCTCTATGGGATAATCACCTTCATGTACCTACAGCCCAGCTCTAGTCACTCCGTGGACACAGACAAAACGGCGTCTGTGTTCTATGTCATTGTCATCCCCATGCTGAACCCCCTAGTCTACAGCTTGAGGAATAAAGAGGTCAAGAGTGCCTTTCTAAAAGTTATTGGGAAGGCAAAATCTCTTAAAGGAATCATAATTTAATGATATTGAATCCATCAACTTTTGTTTCATGCAGCTGAGATATGCATGTAATCATGGAAAATATTAACTCCTCAAACTTCCAAGTTTTCACATTACTGAAAAAAGTATCTCAGGTCTTTATGTCTACAAAGTAAACCTTCAAATATATGAACTCTTAGGAGTACTCTCTAAAGAAAAATCACTTGTTAATGTAGAATTTATTTTTAAAAATAATCTTTTATTGCATTTCATGACTTTGTTTACATAATAATGAATACTCTGACATACATAAGCCCATAAACTTGCAGGTGCGTACTTCTGTTGTCACAGCCCAGACCCCATTGCTATGGGAAACCGATGACATCTCAAACCCATGGATTGAGAAATTCATTTTAAAATAAGTATTATGAGTCTATTTTTATTCCAGATTTTCAAACATTATCCAAGTGAGACAATACATTCCTGTATACATTCCTGTATTATAAAATTTAAGAAGATTGTACAATAGACATTTACAAATAAAAAAGAGAGGTTAGTTTTGATGTTCTATTTGCCTCTGATTCCATCTCTTTACTCAGAAGCCATAATTATGGTTCTGAAATTTAAACTATATCTTAGGTTCAGTGATAATTTTACTACTTGTGCCTATTGACTTTAGCAAAATGTATTTTAGTTGTGGATTCATTGTACCTTTTGTTTAAAAAGAAGAAAGAATAATAAAGTTTTTATGAACCTGGAAGCTGAATTTTTTTCATATGAGTGAACATGTAGTTTCATCTATGTTAATGTCTCCAGGTATAGTTTATTTTTACTGATGCCTAATGCCTAATTAGGTGGGTGGATTGTGGATTACTTATCCAAAATATGGTTTTCTCCTAGTATTTTCTACTACACACAATACTCTGAATCAGCTTCTTGGTTTCCATGTATGTGGTTGTTTTTTTCTATTTTAATGATATACTTTGGAAAACTTTCTGGGTTAGATGGTAGCTAACACAGTCAACTTTTCAGATAATATGTCTTAGTGTTACAAATTAGTTGTTAAAGCATGCACTTCTACAAGCTTGTGTGAATATTCTTGTTGCTCTGTATCTAAAACAACTTGATATTGGTATTATCCACAATAAATATTGCTTATGTAGTGAGTGTAAAATGATTTTATTTTCCATTTTTCTATAATTGCAATGAAGAATATATTATATTTTATCACTATTTCTCAATTATTTCTTGAAAATAACAATTCATATTATTTTCCCATTTATCTACTGTTTTTACCACTAGGTTTTGCTTATGAATTTGAGCACTATATATAATTCTCCAAATAATTCCATCAGTGAGGAGGTGTTATAAATATTTCTTCTTTGTATTGACTATCCTATTTTTAGAGTGATTGATAAATTATCAGTTTGAATATAGTTGAATTGATCACTTTTTGTTATTCAAACTGATATGCCTAGGAATATATTTAACAAAAAATACTAAAGACCTATACAAGGAAAACTATAAGACCCTACTACAGGAAACCAAAAGCAA